TGACTGCCTCCAGAAAGTCCTTAGCCAGCAGCACAAGGTCAGTGGACCCTGGACCTCGGGGCACCCTCTCCCTCCCCAAGCAGCTGGTGTTCCACATAGCATTCTGAAGACTCCCCTCCTCTTCCTCCTCCACCCTGCCTTTCTGTCCCTTCTGGTCTCTCCCTGGACCAGCTGGGTGCACGTCCTTTGCAGATGCCCAGAGGAGTCTTTAAGCAGGACAGTACACCATCTCATGGTTGGACAGGTTCACCGAAGCGACCAACATGAATCTGACCCAACTCTGGGAGGCAGTGGAAGATAGGGAGGGCCTGGCGTGCTCTGGTCCATGGGGTCACGAAGAGTCGGACACGACTAAACGAACGAACGAACACCATCTCAATATCCCTGGCAGAACAGAACCTGATCCATGTGCAGAGTTCAGCTCCCAGGGAGTCCACCTCATGTTTAAAACGCACACTCCTAGCCTTTGTTAATGTTTGCAAATATCAGCGTGATGGTAGAAGTGCTTCACCGCTGATAAGGGTGCCTGCTGCAGCTCTTCCTTGGAGAAGGTAGGTCTGGGTATGGTCTCACATGCTTGCCTGGCTCACATCCCGACTGGGCCACGGTCATATTCTTTACATGAGACTGCAACTGGTACAGAATGTTGCTGGGGGCTGTTATTCACGCCGCCCAACTATTGCTGACCTGCCTGGGCTTGTTCCTGAGTCGTGTCCAAGGTGCTGGTCCTGACATTTAATGCTTGAAATTGGGGTGTTTGGTGGGAACCCATTTTTTCTGCACGATGAGATCTTTAGGGAAGGGTTTGATGGTTGTGGGTTGACCCAAATGCTATCTGAAGTGCAGCTACTGCATTTATGCTGATAGAGCTGCCATGCTTGAGGGGCCAGGTAAAAGTAAAGGGTAAGGTAAAGCTTCCCCTTGACAATTTGTCCAGTCATGTCCGACTCTAGGGGGTGGTGCTCATTTCTGTTTCCAACCCATTGAGTTAGTGTTTGTCTGAAGAAAATCTTCTGTGGTCACGTGGCCAGCGTGACTAGACACGGAACGCTGTTACATTTCCCCCCATGGTGGTACCTATTTATCTACTTGCATTTGCATGCTTTCAAACTGCTAGGTTGGCGGGAGATGGGACAAGCAATGGGAGCTCACTCTGTCCCGTGGATTCGATCTCACGACTGCAGGTCTTCTGACCGATTTTTATGATCTGGTAGCCATGAATTGTACCCCCACTGGCTCTCTCATTGTGTTTTCCCCTTTTCTGGTGTCCTACTTGCTTTTTAAAAAAATTGGTTTGGTTGTAAACAGTTGCAAGGTTTATTTGACTAAAAAGGGGACAATATGTTTGAAGGCCACTGAAAAGCCTTGAGAGCAGATGGGCCTTCTGGACCACCTTCTGGACCCTCGTGTATCCCACAGCATGGCTGTAGGAAGAATTAGGCAACATGAGCATGCACGCACACATTTCATTTTGTCATCAATTGATAGAGACTGAGATATTGGCTGTCCCTCGCGCAGATTTCTGAAACTTGCCTGCAGCATTTTACCTGTTAACAAGGGACAGGCGCGCACACCGCCCTGCCTGGGCGAAGCTCCCAGGATCCTGGGTCAGCTCATGTCATGGGAGGCAAATCTGCTGGGGGAGGGGAACCTCCCTCCCATCTCCACCTTTTAGTGTGCTGTCAGCACAAAAAGGAAGGAAGGAGCTCTGGCTTCCCCTCTTTCCACCAGTTTCCACATATACAGAAGGACACTCGGACAAAGAAGAACCTTATCTGGTTCTTCCATGGTTCTCTGGTTCTGGAAGTAGAAAACCCTCCTTGCATTCTCCACCCTGGCATATGCTTCCATCTAAAATGGCAAAGGCCCCATGATTCCTCCCCAGGCCTCACAGCATAATATGGAACTCCTTTTTTCTTTTTGGCAAACAAAGCACAGTTGCAGAGGTGTTTATTTGTTCTACAAGGACAGAGAACAGGTTCCAAATTCCAGAAGCTGGATGTTGTTTGGAACCATGTGGACAATCCTTCCTAATCTTGTCTCTATTGTGAATGGTGAGGGAGCCCAACCTGCCCGCCCGCCCAGCCACACACTCTGGGCACACCCAGCACATTTCTACTGGTGAGTCTGGGGGGTGGGTCTCCATCAGCCCCACGGAATGCCTGTTCTCTGCCACAGTGTTTCGAGCAAATCCATGAACTTCACGGGCTCTCCTCGGTGGCGTGCCCCCTTTTCTTGGATCCAAAGAAACGCCCGTGGGGAGTGGGCCGAGGTGCTACAAGGCCTTTTGCTAGAGGACATCTTTGAGGCCAGGCAGGAAGCAGGCATTGCACAGAGTCCTGAAGGGTTTCTCTTCCTTCACCCATAGCTGTGGGGGCTATTGGGATTCATGGGGGACACGTCGTGTCTTCCCGATTGACCCTGCAGCTGCCAAAGCCGATGGCTGAGGTTCTGCACTTGGCAGGTGCCCAAGGCACACCCAACACGCATCAGTTGTGCATGATGGAGGCGGCCGGCCGCATGACGCTTCTGACGCAGGACAGCAGCCCAGAAGGGCGGGTGCAGGAGGCCATCGCCATCCTGTTGGGGACCTAGCCTAGCGCTGGGGAGGATCTGGCGACGTGGCTGGCTGCTCAGCGACCCTTCGGGCTGCTTCTCTCCCAGTTCTGGGGGGACTGCCTTGCCAATAAGCCATTCTGTCACCAGCCCTTGGTGAAGTCCACGCCCGTGGTGTCTTCTGGCCAAAGGCTTCCTGAAACGAGAGAATGGGAAGAGGGTGGTTTGACATGAGATGCAGGGCTTGGCTCCCCAACAGGACCAGAAACTGGTGAGACTGAGGCTGAGCTGCTGGTCTCTCTGAGCTCAGATATCAGTCTGGCTGACACATATTGGACCTGGTGAACTTTCTGCACTGCTATCAAGGGCAGCCCTACATAGAGAGTATTGCAGCAGTCTGTTTTTGAGATTACTATTTTTGAGATAGGCATTTCCTATCCAGGTAGGTGTGTAACTGGGCAACTAACTCAAGTTGATCAAAGGAACTCCTGGCCATGGTTGATATTTGCACGTTCATGGAGAGTGCTGTGTTCAGGATTATCTCCAAGCTGCGGACCCCGTCTTTCATGGGGCCTGTGACCCCCATCCAGGCCAGGTAAATTTTCCCTTTACTGGTCTGATGGTCCTCCTAATAGCATCTTATCTGGATTCAGTTCCATTTATTGGCCGTCATCCAGTCCACTAAGAATATCAGGCAGTGCTCAAGGACCTAAACAGCATCCTCTACAGATGACACAAAGGAGAGTGAGTGAGTGAACGCTAGCTCTCCAGACAGCTCTCCTAGTGGCTTCATAGAGACGTTAAAAAGCTTTGAGACGATAATTGACTCTGTGGTGGTGGCCCGAAGGGCTTGAGAACAGCACCCCCAAACTGTGCCCTCTGGGATTGGCCGTCAGTGAAGGGCTGGAACGAGCAAAGAGCCCAGTCTGGGTGAATCTGATGGCCTTTCCGGAAGGATACTGTGGTCACTGATGTCAAAGGCCACGGAAAGATCCAGGAACACCAACAGGGTTACTCTCCGCCTGCCTGCCTGCCTGCCTGCCTGCCTCCCTTAGGAGATTGTCTTGCGGAAGGTGATCAGTGCCATGGCCTAAACCCTGACGGAAACAGCCTATCCATCCTATCAGTCTCATCCAAGCATGCTTGCCATGGATCCGCCACCACTGTCTCAATTAACTCATCGCAGACATAAAGAGAGCCCTGAAGCAGGCTCGGTTACATCACCCGTCTCTTGCTCAGTGTGGCCAGCAAGAGGCCTCTGAGAGGAGGTCCACAAGCTGCATCAGGGTGCAACAGCATCTCCTCTCCATGCATACAATATTGTGTTTCACACCCTCTAGCCCAGGCACATACTGCTCCATCTGCACCTGGAGCCTCTTGGGTAATAGATGGCAGGCATGTGAAATAAACACTGTGCAAAAACTGCTCCCTAGATTTGGTCCTATTCCTTAGAGGGAGGATCAAGCCTTCCCTACAACGGAATAGCACTGTCGTCAGCAGCCCTGTTGGTCCCACAGAGCACAAGACAGGCAAGGAGGTGAGAGACGGTCAGGAGGAGCGTCTCGCACCACCAGCCTCTTGCCTCACCGATGGCATCTTCTAGCTCTCGTTTCTCACTTTCTCTGGCACGCATACGTGCCTCAGCCCCACCGAAAGCCCGGCTTCTCTGCTTCCTCAGATGCACAGGGAGGCATCACAGCCAACAGAGAGGTTTCTGCGGCTGCAGTCATCTCTTCCAAGCCACCACCACCCCCCAAAAAAATTCTTTGTGGCCTGGCCCTGATACAGCTGACGAAGCCACTTTCTTCTGTAGCCTGAGACGCAAGATAAGGTGGGGGGTGGGGTGAAAACTGCGACCATAACAGAAGGTGCCAGGGCTGAAAGAAAATAAGACTCCCTTCAGAGTTGTGGTCTAAAGAAGTGCAGGTTGTTAGCAAGGAACCTGGAGGGTGGGCCAGCAGCAGGAGGGTGAGAGTGGAGGCAGACGGAGGAGGAGGAGAGACTGGGAGATGGCCAGAAGGAATGAGCCAGCAGGGAGGAGCACGTGCGGAGGCAAGGAGCTACCTGACGGAGGACACGTACACCACCGCCGCAGCAGCCACAACACAGTCAGGCTGCAACCAGCCAAGGAGAGGGGAGTGTGTGTGTGTGTGTGTGTGTGTGTGGAGAGAGAGAGAGGGTGTGGGTGTGTGTGTGTGTGTGTGTGTGTGAGAGAGAGAGAGAGAGAGAGAGAGAGAGAGAGAGAGAGAGAGAGTGTTGCACACGTACACAGAGCAGGAGGGGAGCTTCAGCAAGGACTCTTAGCCCAAACACAAGCCAATTCCTCGATCATTCCAAACAGGAATGGTTTCAGACAGCAGGCCAGATGGAGAACAGCAATTCACTCCTCAGGGCACATGATGGGGCTGGGGAGGGGGCTGGCATGGCAGGGGCTGTTGTGTTGGGTGCAGATCCCAGCAGAGCCAGGGTGACCCGGGTTGGCCTCCCAACTTCTGCATGGGACACGAGTGCATCAGGCTTGCTCCGCTCCACTGATGAGTGTCTACTGGGAACAGAGGGACCCTCCCGCCAGCATCTCCTCCAGGGAAGGAGGCTCTTCCTGAGCACTCCTGCCCTAGGCCAGCCCTCCTCCTCTCTCTCTCTCTCTCTGCTTAGGAAACAAGGGCTGCCCCTGCTGTTGGTGGCTGCCTCTCGCTGTGTCCCTTTCCTCTTCTCCCTTCCAAGGCATTGTGTCTAACAGACCCAGCAGTGAGGAGTGAAGGTGGAGAAGTGTTGGGGGGGGGGGAATCAGTATGCTTTCTGGTTCCACACCATGGCACATCCGTCCTCCTCCTCCTCCTCCCCCTCCAGGACTTCTTCAGGTTAACCCCAGGAAGGAGGGCATTGCCACAGTCCACTTGGCACTATCCCTCCGACTAGGCAGGCTTCGGCGGCTTTTGTTCCAAAGCCATGTGTCAGCAAGTTCCCAGCTGTTTGCCCTGATGGAAGAAATTTGTTTCTTCCTGTTGTGCTTTGTTGGAGGCTGCTGATGTAAGAGCCAGAAACCTGTCGGTAGGCTGTGGAGGTTTTTGTGGAGTGCTTTGTTATCTGCCAAAACCGCTCATCAGCTGGAGTGGGCTTCCGCCTCCTCTGTGCACCTTTCATCAAAATTTTGCTGGTTCTGGCCTTTCTGGACAGCACATGTTTTGTGACATAAAGGGTATTCAGCTGACTCCCCCCCCCAGGGGCCACAGAGTCTCCTAAGAGACAAAGGACCGTCCCCTGCTTCCTGCTGTCCACGTTCAAGGCTAGTTATGCCTCAAGTGGGAAGAAGGTGGTAGGAGCTGTCATGGCGTGTTCTCAAGGAAGTGGCAGAATCCTCCTATCCAGCCCAAGGAGAAATGTGAGATAGCCCCTTGAAACAACTCCTCTTCCACCTCACCCCTGGAGCGGGACGTCGGAATCCATGGGAATAGGAAGAGATGCAGGGCCCGGTTTTTACTGCTGTTTCGCCCAATTATCTTGACCACCTAGATGGTCAATGACTGCTAGGGGCATTTGGGTATTGCTCTTGGAGGCCGGCCAATGTTTGAGGTTTAGGGGGCCCCTTTTCAAGGGCCACCGTGTTCTGCCCAGTTGATGAGGGTGCGGGTGCCCACCCTGCCTCAACAGTGCCTCCCAACCCTCAAGTGCTTGGCTCAGCAACAGCCGTTCGGGTTCACTTCCCCAGAGCCATCCGGGCGATGCAAGGTGACGCCGTCAGCCGCTGAGCTGCAGAGCAGCTCCTTCTTGCCCCTTCCTTTCTGCATGAACCCACACAGAGATTCTGCGGCAAAGTTGTTGGGCAGTTTGAGTCCGGGGGGGAGGGGGAGTCTGTGCCATCTCTGCCACCTGCTTGTGGTTGTAGCAAAGGCAGGCCACTGATATGCGTGGATGATGGCCTCAGTCTATGAATACCCACTCACAAATTCTTGTTTTGGCGGCGTAACCACCCTAGCCAAGTAGCCCCTTGTCACCTTGCTCGCATTACCAAACAAACCCTTCTCCCCCTACAGAGATTCTTAGCTCAATGCTGGAAGGACAGTAACTATCAAGAGAGGGGTCTCGATGCAAGGCACAGGCAGAAAAAGAGAAAGGAAAAAAATGAGAGGGGAATGAGAGAGAAGCAAGGATGGGGCACCAGCACCTTCGGGAGTTTTTGCACAAACCCACTGCCAGACATAACCTGCTATACCCTCTGCACTCAAAGCTGCTGAACTATGAGCACACCAGAGTCTCGGAGGTCTCTGGACATCCCACTGGAGCAGGTGAGAGCCCACGAGCGCCAAAGATCTGAGCGAGATGCGTAAGAAAGGTCTTTGGCAATGTCCTTCTCCGTCGGCTGCCAGTCTCCAGATCATAAACGGAGATGCCCCGCGGATACGTCACAATGAATTTCACAGGACTTGAGTGGAATTGGTGTACCTGGAAGACCCCAGAAGGAAAATGTACCTAGGCAGAGAGGCTGGATGCAGGTGCTTCTTGGTCAGCTGCACGACTAAATCTGAAGGCAGGGAGGCTTTTCCTGACTGGCTGCTGACACGGAGGCACATTCTTCGGTCGCCTACGGCTTGGCTTCTTCCCTTGAGCCACCCTACTTTCCTACTTGTCAGGGGTTTCCTATGCAGAATATCATTTTGGCAGTGCAGTCATGAAAGAAGCCTTCAGAAAACCTACATGGGCAAAATCTTGCTCCTATGGAATTTCTACAATACGTACATTAGTTCTTTCTGATTTCCACCACATTGCGCCATCATATATGCAAGCAATGCCATTTTCTGGATTATTTAATTATTGGTGGTTGTGGGTTTTTCAGGCTCTTTGGCCGTGTTCTGAAGGTGGTTCTTCCTAACGTTTCGCCCGTTTCTGTGGCCATGGGCATCTTCAGAGGACAGCACTCTTTTCCCTTCCACTCCGTGCCCCCAGAGCACAGAGTGTTGCCCTCTAAAGATGCCAGCCACAGAGACTGGCAAAACGTTAGGAAGAACAACCTTCAGAACATGGCCAAAGAGCCCGAAAAACCCACAACAACCATTAGATCCCGGCCGTGAAAGCCTTCACGAATATATTTAATTATTGTTTCCAGTGACAGCCAGTGGGGCATGGTGCATGGAGTGGTAGACTAGAGTTCAAATTCTTGCTCAGCCATGGAAACATATTACTGTACTACCTAGCAATGGCAAACCACTGGCTCACGTTCATCAACATTCCTTTTAGAGTCACTCTTAAGTCAGAGGTGACATTAACAATGCCAAGAATTTTCAATGATTGCCATTATCGTATATAAACTCTATGGTGGAAGTTGGGACAAAATGAGTCAACAACAAGTGTCCTGCTAGAGCAGGAGGACAGGAGCCTCCTGGAATCTGACTGCAGCAGGGCTGACTGCAGCTTGTGGGCCAGTGAACCGGCGGGCCCCCTTTCCCGAGAACCGCACTTCCCTGGGCATTGGGGCTTCCGCCCTCATGAGTCAGCAGTGCTTCTGCTGCTGGAACTGGGCTGGGACCTTAGTCGTTGTCTCAAAGCTATACAAGCTTAAGCCCATTGATTTCAGGAGACTTAGGGGTGCTTAACCGTGTTCTGGATTGCGTCCAGAGTATACAAAGCAGATCCGGAAAGCAGCACGCCCCATGGGAGAATGGAGAGCAGGCAGAGAGCTGAGACCCATTGCTCTGTGCAGACCTCCAGCTGCCTTATTTCCCTTCCTCCCATCGCACTGCTTGTGCCACAGGCGAGCGGTAGGTAGGGTTGCTCCATGAATAGGTGCCGAAAGCTCCCAGAGAGCTTTGCCCCTGCCTTGGGGCAAACCCATCTCAAGCTGCCTTGAGTGAGTCTTCTTATCCGGAGAAAGGCAGCCTACAAACGAGAGAAATCCTGCTCTTTGCCTTTTCCCTAACATTGTGGCCCTTCCCCAAAAGTCTTTTCTTTCCATGGCATTCCCAAGCATTGCAGCTCCTCAGTCTAGTCATTTTTGGCCTTTTAAGCCAGCTGGACATACGTAGGCCTCTCCCACCCCACCCCCCCGGGCCGCCCCCACCATATCCCCTGGTGCAACCCCGGACCAGTTCAGCCTCTGAGGTTTCTGACTCAAAGGAGGAGTCTCAAGAGTCTGTTCCTGCAGGGTCCTTGCGACGGAAGCCCAGGCTTCAGCTGCTATCCTCTGGAACTCCCTGCCCAGGGACTGCCCATTTGCTTCCTGAGAAGCTCTGGCAGGAAGGCAGCCCTCCTCCACCCAGGGATCGTGCAGGGGCGAGGGCCCACCTTTCTGGCAGGCCACAACTCGTGACATCCCCCGGGGTGGGGGTGGGTGTGGGTGGGGGAGACAGACAGACCCAGCTTGCTTGAGGGAGGATGCCTGCCAAGCAAAATCACAGGAGCCCCCTCTCTCCAAGGCAGAGGGAGGAGCGACGGGACCCACCCAGGCCAGCCTCCTTGGAGGGGCTCTTGCCTGGCCCGTGGTCACCTTGGGCCCTCAAGGAAGGTGGGGCTGGAGGAGGATGCTTCTCCGCCGCCTCCACCCGCGGAGCCAAAGCGGGAAGGGTCCCTGGGCCCCTCGCAGACATTGTGGAAGCCTCTCCCCCCCCCACGAGGTTCCGTCTCCTCCGCCTCCACCACCACCGTCCCCTCCCCAGGAAAGGAGACCGCCTGCGACCAGCCGGGCAGACGCGGCGGCGGCGCTCACCTCGACCAGGGCAGCAGCCGGCTGAGCCCCGACGGCGCCGGCGGGGACGAGGACTCGGCGCTGGGCAGGGAGGGAATCAGGAGCAGGCACATCATCATCATCGTCGTCGTCGTCGTCAGCCTGTGGGGACGGCTGATGCAACGCGGCTCGGGCAGAAACGGGCGCTTCATGAGGGCCCCGGAAAGGACGCGCCGGGCGGCGGCGGCGGCGGCGGCTGCCTCCTCGTCCTCCTCGTCCTCCCGCGTTCAGCCCGAGCCCTGGGCGGCGAGCAGAGCCCGGTCCTCCCGAGGGGGCTTCCCGCGGGTCACGGATGACACCTCCGCTCCTTCCAGAGAGCCGGCTTGCCTTTTTGCCTTCCCGCGCCCGGCCGGCCGGCGGCTTAAATAGCGGCGTCGCGGCCGCCCCGTCCGGC